TTCTGGTGCCAATCAAACCTGCTTTACCCAAAAAATCATCTCCACTCAGATCCAAAACTACAGTATTACATATAAAACTTGATGTTTAGAAACAAATTGAAAAATGTCCAATTACAGTCCAACCACGTTGTAGAAGCTGACAAGAAACGAAATATACAACTTTATAAAAAAAAAAAATGTACATCACCTGTAGTTGCTTGGCACATCCTAGACGAATCCTACTGGTACATGGAACTTACAACTACAATATTTACTTACAAAAATTAAAATCACCTATATTTCACATTTTAAATTCTGTAAGTGAATCCTCCTGTAACGGGGATCTAGATTCCAGCACCATGGCATCCAGATTTATCTGTCAGTACAACATAGGGCCATCCTTAAATTGTAATTCCTCACATTTACATGGCCAAAAATGTTGCACATATGTCCTGGGTCTCAAGACCAGTGATTCCGATTGCTAAGCCATCAACGCATTAGGAGCCTCAGCACATCTCCATAAAGCATAAGATTTGTTGAGGCATCAGCTAGCAGTAGATGATTCTTTAGATTTATCTGTTACCACATCATTATTGGAGTCAGCTATATCGCCTGTCTGTGCCTGACTTGACTGTGCCTGATTTGAAGTTTGAGAATCGGGAGCAATACCCAGAACTACCAGAACAGACCTGCACATCCAAATCCCATAATTGGAAACATAGAAGAACTAGTTTTGGACAAAGTTTCATCTTCCAATGTGAAAGAATGCAAATGTTTGGCCAAGAAAATTTATACTTCACATTTTTCATCGTGTACCTTTGGGCTATCTAAAATAGGGTCTTGCATTTTCAACTAAGACCACTTCTACCCCACGTTTTATGCACGTTGAATTAGTACTAATAATTTTCTCTACAAAACTTATAAATCTCTATATCTGACTTAAAACTAATACTTAAGTTTTAATGGAAAGTCCTACTTTTGCAACATGCATAAAATACATGATAAACTCAATTAAAAAATTAGATGTTTATCGAGACAAACTCAAAAGTGCATGATGAAATTCTATCAACTAAAGTATAGTGCTAATTAAGACAACCGCAAGTACATAATTGTCTTTGCAGCTTTCCTTATATCTTCTTTCTTTCCAACAAACCTTGGAAGTGAAGACCGTATGTTCGACTGGCTAGCATGAGCAACCAAAGGAGCCTTGAGGACGCTACTCTATTCAATGCATTTTCCAGCTGTGGAGGAGGTAGCTGAGACACGAGAAAACAGTCAGAAAGAGCCTAAAATGCTTTCCATTTAAGATACATAATTCACATTTTGATCAAACAACTGAACTAAAAACTTAGTTTTGAGTGCAAAGTAGGATACTTTTGTCTTCTGAAGAAACATGTTCTTAGTGTCTGTTCAATTGGGTTTCTGCTTCTCCTCTAGAAAAACAGAAGCCCAGAAAAATGTCTGAGAGTGTAGTATATACAATTAAGTTAAAGGGTTTTAAGGTAAATTACGCTTTCTGTAATTAATTATTTATTCCTTTTCTATAATAGAAAACTTATAATATATACCACTATAATATTCAATAAAATACAAATTTAACCATTTTTAATATGATATTAGAATTTTATGTAAAAGAACTAAACTTTTTTACAAATCCTATTTGGCTTTCATTGTAGAAATAAGAAAACCCTAGGAGGGCAACCTTCATTGCTGCCTGCCTCTATCACCAAAACAGTCGGCTACCACAGATCAACATCCAGCCACCAAAACCAGCCTTAATAGCCGGTTCCAGCGCCTCAGCCGCGCGTCTAGATTCCTCCAGCCACATGTCTAGGTTCTGTCCACATAGTACATCCGCTGCCCCCTTGCACCTCTGTCCTTGGCCGTCTCTGTGTCTGCCACTGCTACTGCACACCCGAGGCCTCCTTGCACAGCCAGCCACCAGACCGCATAGCCTCTTGCACTCAGCTTTTGCCGCAAAACAGCTTGGAAATTCAAGCCAGTAATCTCCTTCCTATTATCTCTTATTTGGCTTTAATTGTCCTAAGAAGTCGTAAATTATTTTGAAAGTAACATCCCAAATTACCAGTACAAACTCCCATATGAAAAATTGTACAGAAAAAACCAGCAAATGTCAGTCAATCCAGACTACTTATCATTGCACTGGGAAGGACTATTTGAATTGGTTAAAACTAGTTAGGACCATTCTCAAAGGAAAAGGAAAACTCAGTCACCTTCCAGCACTGGATCAAAACCAGGAGATCCAAGATGCTTGGAATGAGGAAGACTCAACGATTATAACTTGGCTCTAGAATTCTATGTCGCCAAAGATAAGTAAAATGGTTATTTTTCTGTTTACAGCAAAAGAAATATGGAATATAATCAGGAAAACCCATTCTAAAGTCAAAGATGCAAACCAAATTTATGACCTGAACATTAAGGCATGGTCGACAAAGCAAGAAAACGTATCAATCATTGAATATTCTAATTTGTTAAAAGGTTGGTAGCAGGAATTGGACTAGCATTATGGTCTTACTATGGATTGCATCCTGCCTCAAGCAGTTTGTGGATAAAGATCATGCCTATTAGTTTCTAGCAGAACTCAACCTAGAGTTCACTCAAGCATAGAAATATTGGGAAAAGATGGAATTCATCATTAGATGAGGTAGATGCTATTATATCTGCAGAAGAGAAGATAGAAAGATCATGCCAAATCCTGTTCCACTTATAGCTCAGCATTGATCTAAAAAGACTCCAAGCTACACCAACAAGCAAAGGAACTAAGCCAAGCTGAAAACTCATGACCTAGTTCGGACAACATGGGTAATCTTTAGTGTACTTTTTCTAAGAAGCTCAGATACATCATAAGCAAATGTTGGAAGCTTCATGGCAAGCTCAATACCTCAAGTAAGGAGTGGGATACAAGAACACTCCATATAAGTCTTACAAATAGGTCCATGTGGCCAACCAGAAAGAGGAAGATAAGCCCACTGATCTTAATGAATTCAAAGCTGAGATTGAATGACTACAAAGCAGTTTACAAGATCCTGAGAAACCCACAAGTATAGGTTTAATAAAACACTCAAGTATACTTCCTTTCCTACATGTTTAATTATCCTGGATAGAGAGCATTTGAAAATTCATGGATAGTAGACTCAGAGGTTGCCGATTATATGACCAATTTTTCCAAATACTTTGGCACTTATATTCCATATCCTAGTGGGAAGAAAATTGTCATCTTAAATGGTTCGTTAAACACCATTATAGGCAAGAGCAACATCAAACTCCTACCTAATTCTGGTGAAATGTATTACATGTTCATAAACTCTGTACAAACCTTGTATCAATTAGTAAATTATCGTAAGATTTGAACTGTAAAGTAACATTTTTTTTCTCATTGCGACTTTCAAAACTAGAGCTCAAGGAAAATGATTGGATGTACTAAGTCCAGAAATGGGTTGTATGGCTTGGATGCACCTGGTGGATCTCTCTTTACTATCTCTACCAATCCTAACGAAAAGCTTTGGCTCCATTATAAATAACTTGGACATCATCCTTCTAAATTTTGAAGTTATGTTTCCACTATTATTTAAAAGTGGTGATTATGAATATAAATTGCTATATATGTGAGTTTGCCAAACATAAACGTATAATATTTTCTATTAACAGTAAAAGAAGTATGTTTTTTATTTTCGTTAGTTCATAGTAATTTGGAGACCATTCCACATTTCCAAAATTTCTGTAACTCGATGATTTCTGTTATTTATTGATGATCGCACTAAAATTACATGACTTTTCTTACTCATGTCATGTTAACCATATAATATCTTAGTTTTACAATACGATTAAAACCCAATTTGGAACTCACATAAAACAGTTTCATACTGATAATGCAAAAGACCTTTTTAATCACATACTCTCATTCTTTTTCCACTAAGAAGAAATTATTCTTGAACCACCATACATCCACACTCCACAAGAAAACAAAGTGGTAGAGTACAAGAATAGTCACCTTTTTTGCAACTAAAACCACATCCCACAAAATATAGGGGTAAAGCAATTCTTATAGCCACATGCGTTATTAATCGCTTACCTTTAAGTTTTCTACATTTTAGAAGTTTTCTAAAAGCTCTTTCCACATTCTACTTAAAACTAAGTTTCACAAACAATCTGGTTCCATAAATATTCGGGTGTGTATCCTTTATTCATGTTCATTCGCATCAATGAGGAAGACTTGATACAAGAGCCGTAAAGTGTGTATCTGTGGGATACTCCTCTTCTCAAAAGGGGTACAAATGTTATCATCCACTTATACAAAAATTTCATGTGTCTACAGATGTCACCTTTGTAGCAAAAGACTCTAATTGTTTTCAAACTTATCTTCAAATGGAGTCTATACTAGAAGATAAAGATAAATTTCTTAATTGACCTTTGATGTTTTAGCTATGGGTCATTCTTTGTTTTCTTTGGAGGATTTGGAGACCTTATTGACTTTTTGATTTATATGTAAATATTTTTATTTACGGGTTAGCACCTCATTAGTACTTACTTATATTTAATGACATATACCATTTTTTTACATACAAAGTTTAAAATGGATATTAATATTGACACCGAGTAGG